CAAAGGCAAAGAGTTGTCATGTCTGGGCTCCCACAGCAAATAAGTGATAGAGTCAGGATTTGATCCCGGATGGTCTGACTCCAAGTGGAAGCTCTCAGTCATTGTACGTCATTAGGCTCAAATTATTTGTTTTCAAGCAAATGGGTCAAACACGTTCAGTCAGATTGCCTTGTTTAATTACCAGAATTTCCTGACTGACTGAGACATAGATCCTCACTGTAGAGATGAGAAAACCTCAGAGAGGTGATGTGACCAAATGAGGTCACACAGATGGGGAATGAGGTGGCACCTGGGAGAAGAGCCAGTGTTCCCGAGAAGCCCTAGGACCTGGATCCTACCTCCTGTGGTCCCAGAGCGCCTCATCCCTACACGCCAGTGTCGAGAGGACTCGGCTCCCAGCATCCTGCCTGGACTTCTAATAGTCTTTCCACTCCACCACTTACTAGAGGTGTGGCCTGGGGAACATTATTCAACCTCTTTTAGTTTCAGTTTTCTTGTTTACACACGGAATCAAGATTGTTGGGAGGATTAAATGGGGTAATGCATGTACTGTGATTAACACAGAGTCAGTAAACAGTAACTGTTCAATAAATAGTAGCCACAGAATAAACTGTAGTGATCAAAGTAGCCACGTTATGATTATAGTGAGTATAATATTTTTTGAAAATTGAAATTGGGTTTTTTATTATCCATAAATCCTATTTTTTTGGTCTCCCTATGCGCTGAATCAATGTCATGCATTGCTTTAGGTGGAGACCAGCTGCAGGCCAGGGCAAACAATTCACTGTTGAGGCAAGGAGGGTAATAATCTTGACCACCCACCAGGTCTTGCTGAAACAGAAAACTCATTTCTAAGTTCCCCGTACCTGCCTTCCAGACAAGATTAGACTTTTCCCATAAGCCTTTGTGCCTAGATGCATAAGATGTGTCATAAGAGAGATTCTTCCAAGATAGGAGGAGTGAGTGGAAAGTCTTTCTACAGCTGGGAGGGGGACCTGTGAGAACAATGGAAGGACCAGTGGTGAGTGTCCTGGCTCTACCTCCTCCCAGGCAGAGAAACCAGAGAGGTTTGGTGACACCCTAGAGCGGGGCGGCTGGTTTCTCACGCCCCAAGATATAGCTTTGGAAAGTTTCAGGCCCCCTCGGGGAAGCCAGAAACACAACAGGGAACTAACTATCTGGGCAGTTGGTCAGAAATGGCCATGGAAGGTGCCCATGGGAGGGGAGCTTGAGGGCAGCCGCTCATAGTCATTCACACTCTAGCAGGATTCAGAGAAAGTGGTCGGATTCCCCAGGTCCTGAAAGTACAGAGGTGGTTGAGGGAACTGGTAGCTGGACCACAGACTTCAGCTGCGGGTACCAACACGATGCCTGAAGAACCCTCTTCTCTCTGTATTTCCTCCCAGTCTATCCTCCTGCTGGCAGTGGGAGAAGTGATGGGTCAGATATAACCCTGGACCTCCTCAAGGGTCCTCTCCTCAGAAGAAGTGCTGTTCAGGCCAGGTTTATGTACTCACTCTACCACCTACCATGCCAGCAGGGCCACTGGGGACCGTGAAAGCAGCCAGGACACTTATCCTTAGCTCATTTATGCAGTTTGCTTCCTCTGCTCTCTCCACTGGTGGATTCTGGGGTACTGCTTCCCACTTTGTGGACGTGTCACTTTACACTTGGTGCTGGGCCTGTACGTGGGTAGGAGCCATCTCTCCAACTGGGCAGTGAGTCGCTTGCAAACTGGAATTCTCCACTGTGCTCAGATAGGAAAACAGTGCACAGAACAATGGCTAGTTCTAATGGTAGCTATCATTTGTTGACCGCTAGGAGTCAGGTGCTTTAAATCCATATCTCTACCCTTCACAATAAACTTGCAAAATAGTGATTATAGTCTACATTTGATTGATGATGGTTAACTATGGTTCACAACCATATGAGGTTGGAATTTGGTTCTGATTTCCTTGCACTTTTAACCACATTACATTGTCTTTCAGTCTTGTCTTTAACACCTATTTCCTGCAGTGCCTAATTTCTTCTTCTTCTTCTTCTTTTTTTTTTTTGTCAAATGGATGGCTATGTCATGTGAGTTGCATGCACTTTGGCTGTGGGCTTGGTTCCAGCTGAGTGACTGATACTCACCACCCAGGACTTCAGTGCTGGCTGCACAGTTCAGCAGTAGAAGCAGCCACAGCCCTTTCGAAGCCATCTTCCTCTTCCCGCACAGACAGAAGTGCTTCAGGAACGTTTAATGCAAGGACTTCAAAGTCCTTGTCAGTTTTTCCTTGATGCTCCTGGATTCACCTAGATCTGCAATCTGAACACATTGGCACTAGTGAGGTAGATCCAGGAACTCAGATGCCAAATCATCAATGGGGGAAAAATGTTTTTCTGACTATAGCCAGATTATGCAATAAAGGGAATTGCAAGCTGGGTGTAGAGATTAGGAAAATTTATCTTATGGAAAGCCTCTGAGCCAGTGCCAGAGTGCCAAGGATCCTGGGCTGAATAGTTTAAAGTTTGAATGGAGGCATTTGGTCTATGGTGGAGAGCCTGCCCTTGCTATACTCAGGAGAGCCAGCAGAGGGGGTCCAAGGCAAGCTTTCCCTTAGATGAGGTAGTTAACGGGCTCTCTATAGCCAAGTCAATCAAGGCGAGTCAGTCGCAACAATGAATTTTTTAATGTTAGAATTAAAAGTGGGCAAGTGAACTCATCTACAAAACATGAATAGACTCCCAGACATAGTAAACAATCTTATGGCTACTGGGGGAAATGTAGTGGGAAGGGATAAATCTGGGAGTTTGAGATTTGCAAATGTTAACCACTGCATCTAACAATAGATAAAAACAAATTTCTTCTGTATAGCACAGGGAACTATATTCAATATCTTGTAATAACCTTTAATGAAAAAGAAGATGAAAACGAATATATGTGTACGTATGCATGACTGGGACATTGTGCCGTACGCCAGAAATCGACACATTGTATCTGTACTTCATTTTTTTTAAAGTGGGTATATGGTCCAATACCCACATTTTACAGGTAATAAAACCTGAGATCGATGGGTATGAAGCCATTTGCTCATTGTCACACAGCTATAGTGAGATTTCCTGACTTAAGTTCAACTCTCTTTCCTTTACACCTAGGTGATACCGTATTTTTTTAAAAAAAGAAAATAACTTTGTTATCTGTTCCTATCACCAAATGGTACATGAATTATTAAAAGGTCAATTAAAAATCTAGAAAATAAGAAGTAAATCCCATCTCCCAGAGTAACAATTTAGTGAAGAGCTTATGGACATTTTTCTATGCACATCTCTGCGTGTATGTACATAATTTTATACAAAAGAGTCATATAGTTCTGTAACCTGGTTTTGTCTCTCAGAAATGGATTGATTTTAATGAACCATCTTCCCCTCGCATAACTTTTATTGTTTTGATTCATTTTAGTGAATCCACATATACAGGGTTGCAATTTCATGGAAAATGCATGTTGTCACATTGATACTCTTGGCCATAATGCTCCCCTATTGGGCTGTTCATTCCACTGCTAGTGCACAGGAACGCACCTTTCCCCAACCCTTCACGACTTGTCACGTTTTTTTTCTTGCTAATTTTGATATATTAAAGAAAAAACTTCATTTAAAAAATACTAATGAAGTTGAATGCCTTTTTATAAAATCAGTTTTTTTACATTTCTTTTGTGAATTTTTGCTGAAAAATTCACAGGTTTGTACAGTTTTCTGTTTGATTGTTTATCTTTTTTCTCAGAAACTTGGAGGGCTTTCTTTGTATATTTATTGCTCAGGTATATTACTCAAAGTATTTCCCAGTCTGTGTTTTCTCTTGCTTATAATATATTTTTTTGCTATACTGAAAATTTCCAAAACTGTCCTATTCTCGTCTCCTTCATAACTTTTGGCATTTATTTTTGAAAAACTGGCCATTGCCATCCACATAAGATTAAAATATCTACCTGTTTTCTCTTCTATTTTCATCCATCAGGCAATTACTTCAGTGTAAGCATGAGATTGGGTCCAAATTTTTTCCCAAAAAATTACTAAGATGAGTAATTCATTGAATTCTTAATTGAGCATGCATTGTGATCCCTTTACATGTTCTGCCTCTCAAATAATAGATAGTTTGAGGGAAATGATGGAACAAAATATTTGAAGTGGAAACTCCTGGAAAATCTAAAGATTAGATCCATATTAAGGTCCATAAGGACACTTTGACACATTGTTAATAAAGAGGGAAACAAAAGGGTACAACATGTGGGGCTGTGGTGACCCCTCTCTCCTTTTTTTTTTAATACTGCGTTAACCCTGCAATTAACTCCTCTGAGAAGCCTCCTTTCCAAAAGTGAGAGAGGTATTTGCACCCCTCTTAAAACACAAAGAGTAAAATCTTCTCTGTCAAGCCAACTGTCTGAGGGAAGGGAAAGTAAAACATCTTTTTTAATACTGTAGTCCCCTCTAATCTGCAGGGCGTAAGGTCCAAGCCCCCAGTGGATGCCCTGAAGCAGATAGTACAGAACCCTGCATATACTTATATTATGTTTTCCCCTAGACTAGTAGGGGTTGGGTGGGGAGGCGGTGCACCTAATGAGGGGATGATTTACCTTCTGGGTGGGAAGGAGCAGGATCCTCCTAAATTTCACCATGCTACTCAGTACAGAGCACTGCACAATTTATAACTTATGAGTTTTTTTTTTCCTTAATTTTTGAAGTTTTCCATTTAATATTTTCTGACGTCAACTGGCTGAGAGCAACAAACTTTGGAGAGTCACTGAGGATAAAGGAGCGGGGATTACTGTAATCTGTAAATGAATTTTAAAGAACTGACGTTCATTGAATGCTCCCATGTCATCTAATTGAATCCTCAGAACTAGGCTGCTTTGCAGGCATGGTTAGCTTATTTTACACACGGAGAACCTCAAGTTCATGGAGATTAAATGCACATCCTACGGTTTCACAGTTGCCAGATTACAGAGCCACCGCTCAACCCAACACCATTTGACACGAAAGCTAATGTTCTTTATAAGGGAAAAAAGAAAATAAGTAATTCGCATGAAACGAAACAGCAACCCAAGCATGATTAACATCATTTGAGCTATAACTTCTCTTCTCTAGCCCAGTTAATAGCTGGCAAAGGAAAACAGATGTTCAAAGAAAGACCTCTGCCCTCAACTGCGTGGAGGATTACCTGGTCGGCATTCAAGGCTCTGAAGACCCCCTGCCTTCTTCAGTGTCCTTAGAGATCTCAGGCAGTTTCTGAAGTCCTTATATCTTCTTGCCTCAGGAATTATATGATATTTGTTTTAATCATACCATAATAATGTTGTTTACAAATAATTATCACCCATAAAAAGTCTTATCTACCATCAAAGTGAACTGTATGAGAGATAAATTGAGGTCGTATCTAAGCTGTATTTTAATTAGCCAAAAGAACCTCTCCCTATTTGCAAATAGAATCTTTTCTTTACAACCCATGTTATGAGCATTAACAATATCCTGTAATTTGTGACGGAAGAAATGTTCACATATTGAGGAATGGAAAAGTCATTCTGGCTTAGCCATGATTTAACTTAAACTTTACGTTAACTAGAACACCCTGCTTGTGGCTGATTAAACATGCCTTGTACGTCTGCTTTAACCATTCAAGAAAAGAATGCATTTAAACATCCAAATGGAGTAACTGTGGTTCAGGCATCCAAAATGGAGCTGGGTGGCTCCCCGCATCCCTGAGTACTTGAATTTTCTGAACTATATCAGAATCAGCCTCTCAAAACAATACCTGCTAGCAGCTGCCAGCTGCAACCTATGGCCTCAAAGTCTCCCCTCGTGAGTATGCAACCATTTAGGATCCCAACCAATCCTTACGTAAGAAGTAAGTGTGTTGTAAAGAGTGCTTAATGAACACCCTTACTTCTTACAAGCTCCAATTATAATTCTTAACAAACAACTTATACAATTTTGCAGTTTCTGCCTTTATAAGCCTTCCCCATTTTGCAGTCGGGCAGAACACAGTTCAAGTGCTTCCTGAATCTGTGTCTCCTGGGCTTTGGCCCTCAATTTGGCTCAGATAAAACTCTCTTCTATTCCTTTTATAGATTGTTATAAGCCCATCTTCCTCTCCCTTTATTTACTTTTCCTTTGTCTCTCTTTTTATCTCTTTGCATTGTTGATTTCCTTTATTTCTCCTTGCTTTCAATGAATGTGTCTTGCTTCAACTCTGGAGAATCACGATGTTTTTATCCTTTCAGAAAGGATTTGCCATCAGGGCTGGACGTAGGTTATGCACCCTCTCAGTGTGCTTGAGAAGCACTTTACTCTCTAAAGCACCAACCCCATCACCCTCAACATGCACCTGGTTCCTCAGATATCTACTTGAGCTCTTCCTCTTTGTCCCTGAGGAACAAGGCACAGAAATCTTATTCTAACACAGAGAAGTTATGTCAAAATAGCTTGCATTGAGACAATATTTTAAAATAAAGTGTTTTCACCTAAGTCATCAAAAGAGATGCCAACAGAATCCCTGGGAGCGATGTAGGATCTGCACCCCATTTCACACCCAAGACACCCAGTGTTAGGAGAGATTAGGAAGCCTGCCCAGATCAGTGGTAGAGCTGGATGTGGACCCTAAGCCTTCTGACTCCTAAGCCAGCTCTCTGTGTGTTGAGTCAAAGTCTTACTAAAAACTAGCCTATTTGGAAAAGGGCACAAGATTTCCTCCTCTAATGTAGATAGCAAAGGATGAAACTGTGTGGTAGGTGTCAGAGATTATTCAACCTCAACTAGACTAGAACCTCAATAGACGTATCTTTAAGGCTAAAAAGGATAACAAGGTTTCTCAAGTCTTACCCTTTTGCTCTACTGATGAGGAACCTGGAGCCCAGAGAAGCACTAGGAGTGGTTCAACCCACAACTAGTTAATGCCGCTGATTTCAGAAACCAGGCTTCCTTACTCCCAGCCCAGGGGTCTTTTCATGATGCTACTCAGCCTCTGCCATTAGGTTTTCCCAGCCTGTGTATAAACCTATGGTAGGACAGGAGAGAGTAATATTTCCATGGTTTACCAAGCCTGTTTTTGAGAACCTCTACCATTCTGATGATGCTCTGGGGAAAGAGCACAAGGTTTGGTTTCCACAGGATCTTGGTTCAGGTCCTAAATCTGTTACCCACTCACTGTGTAACTCTGGGCATGCTCCTGGAACTCTTTGAACCTCAGTTTCCTAACTGTATGTGGTAGGATATTACCAGATGACTTTTATTTTTCACTCTACCTGTTAAACACCAGCCCCTTTCCTTTTAGGCAGCTGGATGGGAATCATCATTGTTCCACGGCACAACAAAGAACAAAGATATTAGCTCCAAGACTTTCAAGTTCAAAAGCACTGGTCCAAACGTAAGAGAAAAAAAGTTGACAAAATGTGTGCTTAGGTAGAGCCCACCTTCTTCTAATCCTCGCTCTGCTGTCTCCATGCCACTTTATAAAGATCTTAAGTCTTGAGATGAGAGAGGAAAGAGAAGGAGATCAGACAAGAGAATCATACACTCATAGGACTGTAAGAGGCCTTTCACTGAAGCCCCCCATTAGTTAGCCCTACAGGTGGATACTGATAGATCCTACATAAAATTTGGGGGGATGTAAACACATAGAGGTAGAGAAATATCTGAACTGAAAAGATCCACTAAGTAGTGAATAGAATTATATGAAAACTTTCAACATGTAGACACACCATACGTGAAATTTAGAAAGAGAGATCCCTAAAACCACAAATCAGCAACAATTACCCGCAAAACAACCAGGATCAGAATGACAATAGCACCATCCTGGAGAGAGAGAAATGGAAGAGAGGCAACATTCTCTTTAAATTGTGAAAGGAAATCACTTTTAACCTGGAATTTTTAACCTAGCCACTCAATCATTAAAGGGGAACTTGGAAAAAAGATACGTGAAAATTGTAAGAATTTAGAAAGATGATGTTCATAGACTCTTATTGAGATTACTCCTCAAGCATGTCCTTTGGCAAAAAAATAAAATAATTACCCAGTAGGACAAAGAAATATGTATTGACTGTAAATAATAACTATAATAATGTTTACAATGTGGCTAATAATAACTTCAGTTTTTAAAAATACAAACTAGAACTAACTGGAGCTAAAGAGAGTTTGGAATGAAGTTAAAATGTTCTAGGATCTAATGCTGATTAAATTTAGACATTATTAGAAAATTTTAATATGAGTGCATACATTTTCAGAGTACTATTTGTATAAAGCAAACATAATATTACATTTATGGTGAAATATTAAAATTGAGCTCCACCTCCATTCAAGCTTTTAGCATATCAGGAAAACCCTTCCCAGTCTCGGTCCCCTTCTGTTACTCTAAGCTCCTGCACTCACACTCTATCCACTCAAATTTGTGCTCCACCAACACCACGTGCTGGTATTTCCTGGACTACACAGTACAAGGTCATGCTTCCATGCCTTTTCTCACGTCATTTCTATTTGTGCAACGCTCTTCTTCTCTTTCTTTGTTTGGCCATGTTTAATCATCTTTTCATTAATTCAATAAATGTTGAATCCTAATAAGTGCAAGGATTTGTGTGTGTGTATCTGTGTGTGTGTTTGGGTGCAGTGGGGAGGAGAACAAGAGGTAAGAAAAGTTAAAGAGGATCAATCTGGTCCCCATCGCGTGGTTGCTTTCAATAACCACACAGCTTGGTTTGGTCCCCAACTTCTTCTTGGAAGCTTTTCTCCATTCTACTCTTTGACAGCACAGATATTTCTCCTGTGCTCACATACCACATGCTTGCTCGCATTTGAATTCTGTTTTCTACCTGTCTTCCTACTAAATCTCTTAACTACTTCAGGCCTGGGATCATGCCTGCCTCATCTCTATAACCTCATACTCAGGAAGTTTTTGTGCTAATCTGACCAGCAACCTAACAAAGAGTAGTTGCTTCCAAACCGGCCCCGTTTCTTCTTAGGCGTTTCCTTCTACAGAACATGCAAGCTAACTCCTATTTCCCTTTTTCCCAGACAAAATTTCACTTAACTTTTCTCATTGTTTTTTGTTCGTTTGTTTGAGAAGACATTAAATTCTTTCTCAGGGAGAAATATTTTATTTCCTTTCTTGGATGAATTCATGCTCTCCCCCTTTTGAATATCTTCCTGTCATCTATATGATGATTCTACTCAGCTCCCTAAAACACTCCTCTGACTGGAAATATACAGTGATATAACTCTAAAGATGAGTGATATGTTTCTGAAAAGAGGAGAGTTGTTAAAAATGCTTAAAGTGAGTTTTCTGATGGAAAATAAGAATATGAGCTCTTGACATGTATCCACAAATATTCCGTAAGCCCTCATCAATTCGTGACACACTTGTACAACTGCCTAATCAGATTGTCTGTGATAATGGACGTATTCTAATCTATGCTATCAGTGTGGTAGCCACTAACCACAAATGGCCACTGAGTATTTGAAATATGGCTAGTGAGAATGAGAAGTTGAATTTTAAGTTTTACTTAATTTTTTTTTTACAATTAAATTTAAATTGAAACAGCTGCATGTGGTTAGTGGTTACTATTCTGGACAGAAAAGACCAAGAAGATGGAAGCGGATTTCTTGTAGGAATAGGTTGATATGAAACAAAGAGAATTTGTTCCTATCTGTAAGGAAGCTCAGAAACAGACTTTCTAAGTCCTGAGAACTTGACGAAATTGTGAGGAGTTCAGCGGAAAGCTGTAGAACTTGGATGTGAGTCAGCTTATTTAGATCACCATGCTGACCCCGAGGCTGCACTTCAGTAAAAAATCTTTATCATCTCTGCACGATGTGTTCTGACCCCAGATTCCCTGATGGAAGCTTGGATGGCAGTGATCCTTTGCCTTCCTCTTCAAATGACCAATGAACTCCATTTTGAGTCAAATAGTAGAGCTTTTCACTGCTTTGTCATTTGAGGTCAAGCATTAATTGTCTCCAGCTTTGGCATGACAGCAACTACCAAGTACCCATTTTAACTTACGAACAGTTTCATACTTTACTCTTGGTGCCTTTTGGAGGTTTTTTTGAAACGGTCGATTATTTTTTGACTGCTAAACATTTCAGTGCTATTAGATTGGCATGAGAGAAGACCCTCAGCCAGGCAGGGGCAGCGGGGTGGGGAGCACCTAATGGAATGGTCAGTGTGAAAAGGGGATCAGAAAAGGTGCTTTGGGAGAATGTGAAAAATAAAATCTGCTAGAGGGATTTGGAAAA